AATGATATTCTAGGTAAATAGGTATGGTGGTTTAATTAACGTTAATTTGTTGGTAACTATCAGTGTTTTCTGACTGACTCTTGACCATGTAACTCCAAATCTAGCCCCATCTGAATTCCACGAACTCAAGTTGGGCATAGGTGCATAGGGTTTTCAGAAGCCTGCTATTTCAGAAGTGGGTGGCCAATCCTTCTTCCTATCTTGGAGAAGATTAAACCAAGCTACTGGGGCTTCGTCTGACATACTTTGGACATGTTGCCAGGAGGGACGGGTCCTTAGAGAGGGACATCATGCTTGGGAGGGTGGAGGGACGGCACAGGAGGGGAAGACCCTCTATGAGATGGATTGATTCGGTGACTGGGGTAATCAGGATGGGTGTGTCAGAGACAGTGTGATTGGCACAGGATAGAGCAGGGTTTAGGGCTGTTGTGCATAGGGTCACTATGAGTCGCAAACAACTCGATGACACATAACAACAACAACAAACAAGTTGGCCAGGAAGCTGGAAGCTGTTGGAGAGGTTCAGGGCAAAAAGACCCTTTAGATCCATCAACCCAATTTTGGTGGTTTCTGCCACCACTGAGCTTTGATGGTACAGTCATGTGGATGAAAATGAAGACAGTCATTTGTATGAGAGTAGGAGGTCTTGCCTCACCTCTTCCAGGTGCTTCTGGGGTCCCAAGCAGAAGAAGGAAAAGGCTGCTGGAGCCTTGTCAATACCCAGAAAATATATCAAGGTTACTTATTGGAAGACAGACTTATACCAGCTCAGAACACACCTTACATGTCGTGACTGACAAGTGCACTTCCTCTCTCATATACATACATACAAAGGCATCCTAGTGATGTGCATAATGTGTCTGCCTGCTAACAAAAAGGTTAGCAGTTCGAGTCCACCTCTTGCTCCTAGAGAAAAAGGAAGGATAGTCTCTTTCCATATGAGGACAGCAGAGCAAAGGGATGGAAAAGCGTGGGCCCTTTTTTTTAAAAAAATTTTTTTTTAATTGTTTTTGTGTGAGTGTACCGTCAAATCAGATCTGACTGGTACAGGAGGAGATTGTCCCTCCTTCCTTGGCAGAGCATCTGGTGGATTCAAACTGTGCGCCTCTGGGATTATAGTTGCAGCTCCTTACCACTAGGCCACCAGAGCTCCCCAAGCCTGGGCCCTTAATTGCATTCATTGCCACGTTACTCTATTAATCTACCATAACGTCATCCACACAGCTTCAGTCAACTTACTTTTCTAAATAAAGTGATTTAGGGTTTTTGGAGAAACCAACCACAAAGAGCCCAGGGAACTCTGCTGGTCCCAGCGTTGTCCAGCTTTGACTTATCTGCTCAGAGCAGTCAGCCTTGCTTAGCATTCTCTCCTGGAGACAATGAATGCTTCAGGCTTGTCAGGTTTTCCAACTTAGCTTACTTATTGCTTCTCAGCCTCCATCCCCCCTGCTCATTTTTCTAACTACCTTTCTTCCCTTGAGATCTCACTTAAGAGTCATGACTTTACATATCATCTACACTTTGGTGCTGGTGAAATATTCATCTCTGGCTCGGCTCTCTGAGCTCCAGCTTCATAGAAAATGTCCTATTTGCCCTCTCCACCTAGATATAGCCTGGACATTTCAGAATGAACTTCTCAAAACCAAACTCTTGATCTTTCTGCTTTGAACAATCCTTCTTCAGGCTTCACCAGGTCTGTTAGGGACTCTTTAAACCCTTCTTCATTGTTGGTAGGTGCTGTTGTGTTGACTTTCAACTCATAATGACCTCATGTTGTAATCTAATGGTGCAGCGGTTAAGTGGCTGCTAATCAAAAGGTTGGTAGTTCAAAGCCACCAGCCACTCCATAGGAGAACGAAGTGGCAATCTGTTTCCAGAAAGATTTCAGACTCAGAAATCTTATGGAATAGTAGTTCTATTTTGTCTTATAGGGTTGCAGTGGTAGTGTGTGTGTGTACGCGCATATGTGTTATGTCTTGGATTTTTGGGTTAATGTTTATGGAAACAAATAATCATATCTTTCTCCCACTGAGTTACTGGGTAAATTGAACTGCCAACTCATTACGTAGCAGCCGAATGCTTAACTGATGTACCACCAGGGCTCTTACCCCTTCATTAAACCAAATCCACTGCCACTGAATTGAGTTGGACTCATCGTTTTCCTTCATTGGTTTCTAAGCCTGCAATTATTTATGAGAAGGGATTGTTCATCTTTCTCCTGTGGGGCAGCTGGTGGGTTTGAACTAGGACCTTTCCTTCAGCAGGCCAACATATCACCACTGTGTTACCAGGACTCCTTCCCATTTCATTAAGTAAGGCTTAAACTCTAGGTGTTATTGCTAATGTCTCCATCCACATCCAGTTTTACATCCCTTAGTTCTTCCCTCCCTCCCCCCAGGTCATTACCGTGCCTGAGTCATCACTGCTTTGTGCTTGGAAAACAGCAGCAGCTTCTAACTTGGTGTCCTCACAGTCACTCAAAGATTTTCCAAGCTAAGCAGCCAGGGTGGCCTTTTAGAATCCAAATTCTATATTATGTCCTCGGTTATGATGGTTTTTAATCTCTATAAATATAACCTCTATAAATATAAAATCCAAATTAATTAATAGTGCTGCTTGTCTGTTCTACACACACACACACACACACACACACACACACACACACATACACCTTGCTATGCACAACTCTTAATTTCCATTGGTTTCTCAGTTTAAATGTCATTGAATTGCTGTTAGTTCTGAATCACAGCAGTCTCGTATATGTCAGAGTGTAGTGTTTAATGGCTGAATTTTCAAAAGTAGATCACCAAGTCTTTCTTCTAATGCACCTCTGAGTGGACTAGAACCTCCAACCTCTCAGCTGGCAGTGAAATGTTTATACCAGTCAGCACCAGCTCACAGCAACCTCATGGTTTTCATCTGCTGATTTTTCAGAAGGAGTTCATCATTTTATCAGTCATGTCTCTTAGTCCAGAATCGCTGCTGAAATCTGTTCAGCATTATTGCTCCACACAAGCCTCTAATGACAGACATGGATTAGCAGTGCATGAGGTATGCTAGGAATTGAACCCAGCTTAGCCACAGTGTTGTTAGTTGTTAATTCTAGTCTAACTCCTGGGAACTGCAAGTGCACAGAGAACTGGTCTGTAAGATTCCCAAGGCTGTGGCCTTTCAGAAGCAGGTCATCAGGCAGGTCTTCAGAAAAGCCTTTCCTCACTGCCCGTGGAGATGACTCATAGCTATCCCTGCAGTGAGTTTTCAGAGGTTGCAAACTGCACAAGAGGAGAAAGCCCATCTTTCTCCCTTGAAGTAGCTGGTAACTCAAGAGTAGCTGGTGAATTTGAACTACCTGCCTTAATCTCTAGGGTACCAGCACTCCCTGAGAGGAAACTCTGTTTGCTGTTGTTGAATATTGTTTCAGTTGGAGCCAATCTATAGCTGAAACTCCAGCTGGGTATCAGAGGCAGTTAAATGCACAAGAAGAGACTGCCTATCCTTCTCCCTTGGACAGCTGGTAGGTTGCAGTTTGTGGCGCAGTTTCTTACCTCTAGGGCACCAGAGGTCCCTGGAGGTATAAACTATTAACATGTCAATTAGTAGTCCAGTGCCTTGCTGTTGGTAAGTGAATAGGATCATAGAAGAGGAGAATGTTTTCACTGTCCCCTTTACCTTACCAATCCTAATTTCACCTTTGCTAAAAGCAAAGCTTATTGATGTCCAGTCAGAATAGACTCCTAGCTGACCCATCCGTGGGTTTTCAGAAGCTGTAAATTGCATGAGAGGAGTTTGCCCATCTTTCCCCGCGGAGCCGCTTAGTGGATCTGAACAGCCTGGAAGTGGTGGTCACCTGTGGATTAGCAGCATAACATTTAGGGACTACGCCACCAGAGCGCCATCACATTTACAAAGTGATCTGATTAAATGTTATTGACATACAGTAATTAGTTGACTGGATCTCTGGTGACCTAGTGGTAAGGGGTTTCACTACCAATCCAAACGCTTGAGTTCAAATCCACCAGTTGCTCCGTGGAAGAATTTTGTGCAATCTCCTCCATGTGATTTACTGCCTCTGAAAACCGGCTGGAGCTCAAGAAGTGTCACCCTCTATCTTGTCTTCAGCACTGTGCTTGTGACACAGTAAGTGTTCGGGGAATGTGCTTACTTAGTTAACACATTAACACACACTGACTCATTTATTCCCAGTAACAATCCCGAGTTAGGCATATTACCAAGGCCTGGATAAGTGTGGTTACCATTGGTGGATTTCCAATACAATTGCCCGATAGGGTTGCCCGGGCTGTCACCCAGAGGTGTTTGTTTGTTTTTTTAATCAGAGATCTTTCCTGTTAGCAACTGAACTCTTTTAACTGTATACAGTGCTACCAGTGCGAAACTCTAAATCTCGACTCATAATAACCCCGTGAGTACAGCTGCTTTCGGTTCCAAGACCGCAGTCATCACAGAAGCAGATTGCAACTGGTGGGCTGGAATTGCCAAACCTTTCAGTTAGCAGCCAAGCATTTAACTCCTTTAGCAGGAGTCACAGGGCAAGAGCAGGTTCCGACCCAAGTCAGGTCCTCAAGATCTGCGATCCAGATTTGCCGGCCCATTAACCTTGGTCCCTTGGCGAAAGGGCAAGGGTGGGGCAGTCCTGTGAGCCGCCAGGCAATTTTCCCAGGGTACGTGGAACATTCACGCAGCCCAGAAGAAACTCAGGCAGAGCGCCCAGGCCCCGCCCCGTCGCCGCTCGTGGTGTAAGATCACAATCTACTGCATATGCATAAGGGGACCATGGACTCGGGCTTCGGAGCTGCCTCGGAAAAGCCTGATTAAAAATTCCTCCGGCTCAAAGACCTCAGCACTGCATAATTTTGCTCGCGTACTTAATGTTATAAAAGTGCCCTCAGCGGAAGATATTGGGATGGTGTTTTGAGAAGATAGTCCCACTTGGGAACCCAAATAATGTAGGCATCTGTCGTAGACAGCCCGGCTCCCGGAGGGGGGCCTCGGCCCGCTCGACTAGAAGACGGAGGGGGCGTCGCCCCGGCTTCCTGCGGCGTCGGCGGCGAGCAGAGGTAGAGAGAGGCTTTGGTGGCGACGGCGACAGTTGCAGTGGCGCTATGGCAGGGCTTCCAGGTACGCTGGCGTCGGCCTGCAGGGGGGTGGGATGAGAAGGCCCGCCGTGCGGCTCTGCCGCCATGTTGTTCCTTCGGGGTCACCTTAGGCTTCGTCTAGGTCCTCCTTCCTCGTACCTTGCGGGACACCCCTGCCCAACGGCAGCGGATTGCCCAGCTTGGTCCCAGTCTGGGCCTTGAAGGCCCCTACCCGAACGGAGGAGCGGGTAACTCGACTCCTGGGCTCTTCCTGTGGCCTCCAAGGTCAGCGCTTGCTTGTCGCTCCCGGGACAGGGCAAGGAGGAACCGGGGAGCGCGGGGCCGCCCAGCGCCAACACCTCCACTTCAGCCCGAGGCCCCATGGCAGAGATCTCTATTTATGATAGAGACCTGTCACCCGGTTCCTGCCACTTCAGTTGCATATTTCAACCCCCAAGGGGCGTGGGGGAATGGAGGAACAATGATTTCTCGGCCCAGGCCCCCCGCTTTGGAGTCTAGAGTAGGAAATAGGTTGATGCTCTGCTTCTAGGTGCTGGCGCTGCTTACTTTCTCTTAACTTCGCATCAAACCTGGACACCTGTCCCCTTTTCCTCCAGTATATTGGCAGTAGTCCTCAAGGGCAGCTGAAGGCATGAACGCCTGACACACTTACATATAGCCTTTCGGAAAGGAAGAAGGGGGTGGGGAAGTATTGCTTTTTCCTTCCTCCTTCCAAATCTTAAGTTTTCAGGCCTCCGTGGCCCAGCGCTAACTGTTGGGTCCAAGGAAAGAAATAGCCTTTCTGTGTATTGGTGCCGTTCAGGGAGTTAGTGTGTTGGGACCAGCCTCTGTTGGCCCTGCTTGACATGGTCCAGCCACCCCAGCAGACTCCTGGACGGCAACACCCAAAGCCGGGTCAAAGGAAAAAAAGTTTGTGCTGAGCGCTAATGCTAGCTTGTGTTCATTTTGCTTGTTTGAATCAGAAACTGCTTAATGTCAAGCAAATCTGTTAAAAGATTGGGGGGGGGGGTCGGGGGGGGGGGTAGTGCTTGTTGGTTTCTGGTGACCAGGTCAGTCAGTACCTGTGGTAAATTGGTTCTTGCTGAAATTGCTGCCCAAAATTGTTTGACCTCTTATCTATAATTTGTTGTTTGACAGTGCAATCTAGAAATCTGAGTTTGGTTGTCTTCTTGTTCTCCTAGCTTTGAAAGACACGCATTCCATTTCCAGCCTGTCACTGTGTGATGTACTGAGGACTGTGTGTTGCCTGCCTCTCTGACTTCCTGCTCTGGGAGTGTTTAAACATCCCAATCCTGCTGGGCATGGGCCCCATGGGGGTCGGAAGGATGGGAAGGAAGACAAATAAGGCCATTCGCATGGAAGATGGAGACAGCTTGTCTCTAGGGCATAAAGAGGAAGTTAGAAGTGACCTGGAAAAGAAATGGTTGTGAGGGTGTTGGTTTGGGAATAGGGAGTTTGCACACATTTAAATCTATAGGGAGCAGGCGTGGAACCGACGTGCAACTTCAGAATCTCCTTTGAGGAGCCTAGTTCCTGAGCAGATACTTCAATTTGAGAATAGCTATTTTCAGAATGGCTAACAGCAAACCTGCTTCCTCGTCCAGCCCACCTGTAATATTGCTGTCCCCAGCTGAAGCCCCACCCCACCTGCAGAACAGATATCCCTTTCTTCCATTATAATCCAGATACTCTATATTCAAGGCATCTGTCACATAGCATCTCACACCTGTGAACCTTGTGGTACCTAAATTCTCTGGCCTTCCTTTAACTGATGAGGCTAACAAACTTCCATTCTTTGGAGGGCATTAGTCTTAAAGGCTTTATCTAAAGGAGGACATCATTTTGGGCTCCTCACAACTCATCTATCTGTTCAGTCCTTCCTCTTGTAGAGGGCAGCATCTTGGGTTGGTGAAGGTGGTTTAGGGACAAGAAGTGATTGGGCGGTTAGTGCTGTGGACTAAGGGCAATATTAAAAAACAACAAACCAAAAAAACACAACAGAATTAATAATTTCCAACTCTCCCTTTGCTCTCTAGCAGAGTAACATGTTTTTATATAAGTCATGGAAAGACTTTCACAAACAAAAGTGTGTGTAACAAACTTCGAAGATTGCACAGGAATGGCATAGCAACACATCCCTTCAGTCCCTGGTGAGCCATATTTGCTGCCATATCAGGAGGGCTTTAGGTGGAACACTGAAGAGGGGACTAGACATTCGTTCGATCAGGCCACAAGGGTGGGCCACTATTTGCCTGAAAAATCTCACTACACGCTACAGCTAGTGTATTCTACTGATGCGTGGATGGGGGAAGCTCCACAGCTGGGCTTTGCTGAGATCACCCATTCTGACAGGTGCAGGAGGTGCTATATCCAGAGCAGTTAAGCCCTCCCATGCTACTCATGCCTGCTGCCCGAGCCCAGTCACCTTGTTATGTGGGCTGAAATTAGAGATTCTGGACTAGGACCAGTAGGAGTACAGGCACAACTTCTCCAAGGCTGCAAGGAGTGGGACAGCTTTCAGTGAGCACATACGTTGAAATGTGTTCATAGTTCTGTGAATTCAGCGTAGATAACATTAGAAAACCAGGCTTGAGGCTCCCAGAATCTGGACTTTAGATGGGAAGAGATTTATATGGGCATTGCCTGTGAATGAGTCACCCTGAGCGAGAAAAGATGGCCTTACCTTTAGGACAGGCAGATGCTGGAGTCATCCACTCCAGTGGAAGGAAAATGAGTCTCAGATTGCACACTCCAGTCTCTAGCTCTGATGAGTCTTGATAGTCATTTTGGTGTGGCAGAATGTTTGTAGTATCTTGATGTTTGATTTTTTTTTTTTTTTGAGAGGATCTTATTTTGTGGAAGAAAACTAATGGAGTGGGGAGGTGACCTGGAGAGATACTCTAGGTTCACTGATGGTAAAACTGAGAATTGAGATATGCACCCCTTACCCATAATCTCATGGTGATAAATTTAATGTAGATACCTCTAGAAGTGGCTGGTTAGGTTGAGAAGCCAGAGACTTGCTTAGGGGAGGGAAGCATGATTGGGCTAAGGGGAGTGAGTTGCTCTATATTCCAAAAATGTTTGTGATAGCTGTGACTAAAGGATTTGAGGAAGTGGCAAGAGAGATTTATGGCTCTTCCTTGGTGTGGGCTCAGGAACAGCTGTATAGTGACAGGGACACATAAAACCAGAGATGAGGCTGAACAGGTGGGAGGGCCCTTGGGTAAGGCAGTCAGCTGACCCCGTGTAAAAGGAGCCCTGAGTCACTGAGGAGTTCGGAAAGAGGGAAGAGAAGTAGAGCTGAACAGCCGGTCCACCCACCTTGTCATGGCAGCAGAGAGCCCTGGGCCAGGGCTCTGGTAAGTGTCCCTAAAAGTGTGGGAGCAAATGATGGGAGAAGCAGAGAACCCATTAATGAGAAAGGTGAACTGGAGAGGGAGAGGGACTCCCTTGGGACAGCTGTTGGGATGAGATCCTAGATGACAACAAAATCAGGCCGGTGATCTTGTCCTGTGGGAGTGAGCTGGGGGTCAGGTAGTGCCACACCATGCTTCTTGTCCTGTACCCCTTATCCAAGCCCTGTGCCTGTCCTGCCCAGCTCATTTCCTTGAGCTCTTGGGTAGAGACCCAGAGTGAAGCTTTGTACTCTGAGATGGAAATTTAGCCCCTCAAACCCTATTTTGAGGACTAAGTCCATCTTTTCCCCTCCTCCTCTTTCTATAGGTGATCATAGCCAAAGCGTCTTCTTTCAGGACCAAGTAAAAGTGCAGTGCACACCTTCCTCTTTGAGAAGGGGGGAAGTAGACACTCCAGAACTACATGCACCTACTGGTCTAGAGAGGAGGAGTTATCACTTACTACATACAGGCCTACAAGTGGAAATGCCCATCCTATTATTTGGGGAACAGGAAATGATCTTTTATCTCAGGAGAGTCCTGTGATGTGGCTGGGCCTATGAGGGACCCACTGTATTCACACTGTTGCCTCTCCCCTTCACAGTGGGAGTGCCCACGCCACAATGGGCAGTCATAGAAGTATATGTTGAAGCTGCAAAAGAAGTCACAAAAGACAAGTTTTTGGTGGGCCTCCACCACCCCACAGGGTCCTGGGACACTGTGTGAGATGGGGGAGGTACAGGGATTTTTAATTTTTATTTTTTTTTTCTAGAGGTGGTCCCTGTCCTCCAGGAGCTTACAGTCTAGCTGGGGAGACACAACTACTGCGCACTTAAACAGCACAATTAGCGATTACTACACTGTTGACCACAATTGCGTGAGACCAGGGACAGATCAATGAGGGGTTGGGTGTTCGGAAGGTCTTTTTAATAAAGCTGGGATTAATTTACTATCCAAAGAGGTTCAGATCAAGTGACATATTTCTTTGGGGTGGGGTGAGCTTGGGAGGGGTGAAGTAGGGCTGAGAGAGGTCGGAAAATTGAGGGAGCAACGGCAGCAAGGCAAAGCAAATGCCACAGGTGAGGCACAGCAAGAGGGCCGCTTCAAGCCTCCCCTCCAGTCGGGATGCACTAGCAGCAGTCAGCGCCTTCTCCGCCTCTAGATTCAGGGCTTCAGCTGGTGATGTCAGAATGTTCATTCTGTTGGCTGATGTGCTGTTTGGACCTCCGTGGTGAGGCCTTTAGACGTGGCCATGACCTCGCATCTGGGATGACATCCAGTCTCGTTCCAGAACAGAATGTGTTGCCTAGGCCCAGATCTCTGGAGTCTGCTCCCCTGTCCCCTATTCTCCCGCAGCCCCACCCCACAGCAGGAGGGGTGCTAGGGGTTTGTGGAGGGGTCTGGAATCTTCATCTTTATTGGTGCTGCGTCTCAGGGAGGGCTACCAGCCCCTCACTGACCTTGGCACGTGCCCCTCTGGCGAGAGAGCGCGGGGAACCCCCCTTTCCTGTGCGGCTCTAGCTCCTGTGCTGGCCCAGATGCGCAGGAGCACCTGGTGAAGCGGCCGCCCAGGGCAGGGGGCTGGGGCCTCAGTTGGGGGCCCGCTGCTGGCGCTCCCCCAGCACCTGCCGCCCGGTCCGCGACACCGTGTACGCCAGCTTCTGCAGGGAGTATCTGAATACCTGCGGGTGAGACCCAGGAGCTCCTCTCAGTGGGACGCACCGGCCAGTGCCGATGCCGTGCCTGCCCGCCGCCCCGATGGCTGCCCGCCCACCGGTCCGATGTAGGTCGGAGAGGCGGGCGTGGGTGCAGCTTGTCCACAAGTCCGGGCAGCTGGAGCTTTTCCAGCTGTGCTGAGGGCAGCATGGCAGCAAGCTGATTGGACCCACAACTTATGTATACCTCACTTCTCGCAATGGGCTGTGTCCCTGGAGGATTTCGAAAAGCGAATCCTACCCAGTAAATGCAGCATTCCAGGAACACCTTGAAGGAAATACGCGATTCCTGTGGCAAAGAATTCCTTTAACAGGGAATTCTCCCCAGAAAGGGTTCTTGTAGAGATTTACCTTCCTTCTGATTTAATTCATTTTGACACAATGGTGTTTTACGTCTGTACATTTATTTTTTTGTAAAGCGCTTTTCCTTTTTTTGGAAGCGCTTTTCCCTCCCATTTTTCTTGCAAACAGCTTTTTCCTCTAATTGTGTGGGTTGGTTTGTTTTAAATAATAAATGCTTTTGTCTAATTCTTTTTTTGTTCCTTTGTCTATTTTTTTTTCCCCGGCAATGGGCTTTTTAATAGAATGCATTTTTCTGCAATGTGTTTTTGTCTGATTTCTTTTTCCTGTAATGCGCGGTTTTTCCTCTTTCATGGACGTTTTTTGGTGAAGTACTTTTCTCCCCGAATTCACTGATCACCTCAAAGTTCTTTTAAATTGTTTTGAGAAGTGCCTTTCCCCCCAACTTATTTTTCACCCCACTCCCGCAAGAACTCTTATTTTTAAGAAGATTTCCCCGCAATGCGTAATTTTTTACGACCGAACATTTTTGCTATTCGAGTTGTGAAGTCTTTTCGCAAACAGAGCACCCCGCCTCCCTCCTGGGGTCGGGTCTGCCTGGGTGCAGCGGATTTTCTTACCGCGTCGGTCGCTAAGAGCCTCGGCGGCGTTCATCAGCAGCGGGCGCCCGCCTCACCCTGACTCTTTGTTCTCGGCCGGCCACGGGTGCACCGGGAAGGGTCTGCGCGACTGGGGGGGGGGGCGCAGGGAACGAGTGGGGTGCATGGTGCCGGCAGAGGCACTCGGGCTGACCAGGATCGCGGCAGCTGGGACAGGGCGGCAATCGCGACGCAGACGGGTGGATTCTAGGGGCGCGCATCCGGAACCCCTCTCCCATTCCCATCCAGAGCCAGGGCACACTTACCTGCAGTAGCACACGGAAGATGTACCAGCCAATGATGAGCAGTTCCGCCGAGGCTGCAGCCACTGCCGCCATGGTTCCAAGAGTGGTGGTTAGGCGGTGGATCTCGCTGGTTCGCAGAGGTCCACTGGTCCCTCCGAGTCCGCTATTGGGTGCACTGCCGCAGCCGCCCGAGTTGAGCTTTATGTATGCCCCTCTGGTGCGCATGCGTACTGAAAGGGCTTGCCCATGAGGAGGTGTGTCCGGGGGCGGTCCTCATTCGCCAGGAGAGGGGAAAAATTAATCCATCTGCTCCTTCCACACCAACTCCCGCTCCCGGAGTTCCATGTTAGCCCCCTTCTAGAAGACTCTTAAACCTCCTTCTAGAAGATTCTGTCATACCTGCGTTTGAATTTCATGTAAAATGGAGAAGTACCGCGGCTCCAGGGAGGATGTAGGTTGAAGGTAGAGTGTGCACGCCTCTCTCCCAGTCCCAGCCTACAATTGAATGCCATTGAAGAGAGCCGCTCTGTGACCCCCTTAGGCAAGCGCTGAAAACCAAACTTGAAGAGGGTCATTTCTTTAACGCGAAAGGTGCCGAGCGTGGTCTGTGGGTGTGCTTGCTGGTTTGCGCTGCTTGTGCGCATGGAGAGCAAGCCCGTCTTCCCAGAACCAGCGAGGCCACCGAGCAGAGAGACCAACTGACTTTGGCCCTCATGTGGGTGGAAAATTGAGTGTTGATGAAAAGCTCATGGAGGTCAGGTTCTGTATAATGCCTGCCCCACGTGGATATGTATGCGATCCAAGAGAGGTTACTTTGGGCACAATATTATGGCGGGTTTTATTTGCTTGATTTCGGGGTTGGTTGGAGTTCGTTTGGTGTGGGGGTCTTTGTTGGTTTTGAGGTGTCCTCCCACATACTGGCTTTCAAAGAAGTTGGCAGGCTTTGGTAAAGTGAATCTGGGCTGTTTGATGAAAGGCAAGCTCAACTTGAACTTCCATCTTAAACTATCCAATGGTGCTGTCGCTCCTTCCTGGAACTTCCAGGGATCTGCTGCTCGAGTTTCCGAGGTTCCGTGTGCGCGGCTAGCTTTGCTCTGACCACTTTAACTTCGCTGCTTATCTGCATAAGCATCAGCCCTGAGAAAGACTAGACTGGAGCCAGGTCTTTACCGCAGGAGTCCAGCATGAAGCCCATGGCCATCCAGAGGCAACCCCAGGGCGGTGTTGTGGGGTCTGGGTCCCTTGAGGACGGGCTGCAGCCCCAGGAGGCGATACATGATCTCTGCTGGGCAGGGCCCGGGCAAAGCCTGTCCGCTGTGCCGCATGTGCAGGGCCCTCCTACCGAGCCCCAGGAAAGACTCCTGTGAGGCTTCCCCAGCTGGTGACTCGAAGAGAAACAAACTTCCTGGGTGGGCAGGGAGGAAAGGGCATTCACATTTGCAGTTGTTAACCATGATCCATTTTCCCAAATAAGTATACATTCTGTTCCTGTTTTTTTTGTTTGTTTGTTTTGTTTGTTTTTTTGTCTGTCTTTTTTTTTTTTTTGTCTGTTTGTCTGTTGTGTTGACTTTTCTCTTCAGGATCCCCGCTGCCTTGGTGATCCCAGGCTGACAGCCAGAGAGCACAGCGGCGCAGCTCCTGGAGAGTGAGGGTTGAAGAGAGCGGAGGGCCGCCGCCTGCGCCCGCCGCCTTCCGTAGGTCGGTTCCTGCAGCAGTGCCGCGGTCTTGGCGAAGGCCCTGCCCAGCAGAGATCATGTATTGCCTCCAGTGGCTGCTGCCCGTCCTCCTCATCCCCAAGCCTCTCAACCCCGCCCTGTGGTTCAGCCACTCCATGTTCATGGGCTTCTACCTGCTCAGCTTCCTCCTGGAGCGGAAGCCTTGCACTATTTGTGCCTTGGTTTTCCTGGCAGCCCTGTTTCTCATCTGCTATAGCTGCTGGGGAAACTGTTTCCTGTACCACTGCGCCGATTCTCCGCTTCCAGAATCGGCACACGACCCTGGTGTTGTGGGCACCTAACGGGCGCCTGGTTAAGCTTTCCAAGGAAGCAGAAGACGGGAGGGGAGGCATTGACATAGGTCATAAAGCATTGGAGTTTAAAATCCCGCAGCCCTGCGGGTGCCACATTCCTGACGGCGCCTTTTTGGCCTGTGATGTTTTATCCATATAATGTGAATAATAGCACTGACCGGTGCTTTTAATGTAGAGTCTGTAGTTGTGGGTGTCTTGTGGCTGTGTGTGTTCAATTCCCATCTTGGTTCTGGTTGTTGGGATGGCCATTCCCTTCGCCTCATTCCTGCGAAGAGTCTGTGCCCATCCTGGTCGGCAGCCCTGGGGTGACCTGGGCAGATAAGATGCCAGTCTTCAATGTCACCTCTGTGACCCCTCCCTGTTCAGGGTCTCCTTTCTTCCCTTCCTACAATGTTATTGACTCCTTAATCCTCCTTGTTTTCTTTGAGTTCTCTTCTACCCCTTACCTGTTTAGGGGAGCACCTGTCTAAGATAGGGCTCAATTTTGCACTTATCTCGAATTTTGAAGAGATTGCTGACGCCCGAGAGCCTCGCTTTTCCACCCTGCCCTCCCTCTCCACATTAGCAGCCAAGATAGAAATGTGTCTTGACTGTTTGCAAACCTGCGGTGTTTGCTCCACTTTCTCTTTTGGAAAGAATAACAGACAGATGTTGCTCTTTCCCCTGGGTGCCTGGGTTCCTGACTTCCTAGCTCAGCTGCACTTCCCCGCCCTTCCTCCCACCTTTCTCTGCTGTCCTGAGGAGTGGCACCTCCTTGTGTCGCCTGTGCATGCTCTGCAGGACTGAGGTGTGGTGTGTTCCCATAGATCTAGCAGTCCCCAGCTGAGTGAATGGGAGAGGACATGTGTGTTTCATAATGGCCATGATCCCCCTTGATAGGTGTTTGGATATTTTTCCGGTGTGCCCTGTGTGTGTGTGTATGTATGTGTACAAATACATGTGTATATTCCTGTTAAAGAAGCTTTATCGAACATGTTCTGATTTTGAGGTTTAGCAGTAGCTAGTTATACTGGGAGTCACTACAGTTTTTATTTAGCATGGGGATTACAGAGTGACGAGCACACTGGACGCCAAGGTGATTCAGACAAGACACAGGAAAAAATGGCCATTGTCCTCACGCCAGGAGCTGCTTTGTTCCTGTACACATAGACTGTATCTATGAAGAATACACAGGAAGACTTTGTGACTGTCACTTGCTTTTTCCTTTTTCTGCGCTTCAATAACAAGTACTGGCAAACAAGACTTTCTCCTAGCCCCTGCCCACTGGGGGTCAGCATGGTTGTCCTCAGTCAGAAATATTCATCTTTCTCTTGCTTGACAGGAGAGGGAGGTGGGCCAGGCAGGAGGCCTGAACTGGAGGCACTCCATCTAGGGAATGAGACCGTGAGGCCATGCTTGTGAAGCATTGAGACTGCTAATCTGGAGCTTTTCTTTCTGGTGTGTTTGTTGCACAGCTGTTTGAAATGTTTAATAAAGCTTTATAAACTTTGCTTTGTGGTTTTATGCGGCTCCAGTCCATTTGGGTTGTGGTGTTGTATTTCTGAGTTGGTGGGGAGCGGGGGGTTAGCATGAAGAGACTGGGTCTTTGGCGCCAGGGCACGTTAGCCTGAAAACTTGATCTGCTTTCTAGAGAACAGATGATAGTGTTGGGGAGGGGGAGAAGGGGGCAGACTGGGCACCAAACAGGAGGGAGTCTGAAAAGTTTTCAGAGATGAGCCATTGCCTTTCTCAGCTCCCATGGCTTTCTGCCTGAAATTATTTCCCTCCACAGGAGATTTGAGTAACTGATCTCTTGACAAACAACTTAAGATGACTAGAGCTATAATCATCAAGGATTTTTATGGTGCTGATTTTGAAGCAAAAATAAAGTCCCTTATGACATTTCAAGTGGAAAAATAAATAAGACTGGCCATCCAACCAGGGGACTTAAGACCATGGCTAGAAGCATGAGAGTGGTGTGGAACTGTGTCATCAGGGCACACATGCTTCGGTGTCTCTGACCTTTGAGACGGTGTGGGGTAGCTTGTCAGGACCTTGTCCTGAAGTATCTGGGCATCCACTGCAGAATCTCTCCATTCTAGAAAGCACCATAGGAGTATTACATGTCTAAGGCACAGAGCTCTTAGGAGAATTTCTTCAAATGAAAAAGAGTTTTGGTAATTTCAAAGAAATTTCCTGCTTTACCTACATTTTTACTTTATTGCTATAAAGCTGATTTTTAAATCTTTCTACTCTCAGGAAGGAAGAGCCCCCCCTCCTAGTACATGCCCAGTGTATGTGTGAGGGTCAGTGAAGGAGAGGAAGATGCTCAACCAGGTGGATTGACATGATGACTGCCGCAGTGGGTGCTGATGTGTCAGTGAGGATGGTACAGGATAGGACAGGGTTCAGATCTGCTGTGCATAGGGTCCCCATGGGTCATACTCGACTCGATGGCGCCTAACACCACCATCAGTTATTACCCTTCTCATCCATAGCATTGTTTATTGGTGCCTTTTCTTCAGACTTTGCTAAAGACTTGTCTGTTTGAAAGTTAATTTCAAAGAATCAAACTTTTCTTTGATCACAGTTCTATGTTTCCTATCTGATTATTACTTCTATCTCTGGATCCCTCTTTTCTTGGTCTGTTTTGTGATTTTGCAAAGTTTTTGCAAGCTAAAGCATCGTGCACATGGAAGAAATGGTTTATTTAGCAAATACTGAGACTGTATAGTCTAGGCCTACTGAAGATTTCAAGGACAAGTCCCAGGCCTGACAATCCAGGAACCCCTGATTCCAGCCTACTGGGACGATGTAAGAAAATAGACTATTGGAATTTCTAAAATCAAAATAAAAGATTTTTGTGGCCCCTTTCTCCTCTACTGGAAACACCTGGATGATAAATGATTCCAAAATTATTGCTTATCTTGCTGTCCTTCAGAAAGCAGCATTCTGTCTTAGATCAAACCTGTTTTGGAGTCACAAACAGGCCTCTCTCCAGAAGATTAGTGGCCCTTTCCATCCAGGAGCCTGTAGGTACCCCCCACCTCAGAGTGACTGCCAGGTCAGCATTCTGTGTCCCCAAAGGTGCTTTCCACTTTGTCAAGGCAGCAGTGCTATCTAGCATTCACCACTGCTCTACCCCCTCTGTCATCTGCCTGGTCATCACTCATCTTGCAGGAAAATCAAAAGTAGGATAGCCCTTCAGTAAAAGCAGAGGCACCTGGCCTTCCAGAAATGATCCTGTAGTACTGTTGGTTACTGTAGTCTGAAGTGAGAGAATGGCTGCTTAGATGATTCCTCAGCACCACAAGAACCCAGAAGGCCTGGAACCCAGGCTTCTTTACCAGCTGGCTTCTGCCCTGCTGTGGGCCTTAGTTTGCTTATAGATAAAATATGGTGTTTGGAGCAAATAACAATCTTTCCAGCACCAACTTCATAGGAGTCATTTCTCTCAGAACTTTGGAGGCCTCCTGGACATATTTGAAGAAGGTGGCTGAGCTCTGAGAAGGGACAGTCTTCTTGCAGGACAATAGCCTCGTGTACTCTCTGCTTTGGTCCATGTGCCATGTGAACCTAGTGTTGACTCTCTAACGAAGGCCTCCTTGAACGCCTCAGCACTTCATTGTCTTGGGTTTCTGGACGGCGGGTTCCATCTACATGAGTTCCTTAGATTTCCCAAAGAACCTGGCATTAGGCCATGTGGTGGACAAAGTAAGATAGTCTCTGCCATCAGGGTTTCTTCCAGTCTAAGGGGGAAAAGGTCATCATCGTAAATAATCTCTGTAATAACTATGAATTGACAGGCACTAAAGGAGAATCTAAGAGGGAGAACTGATAACGGCCAGGGTGAGCTGACATTCAGACTGACACCTAAACATCAAATATAAATGTTTGAGCACCAGAATATGAAATGTTACTTTTCACGATCTAATCAAGTATCTTTGTGCTTGCAGAGAGAGTGGGCTGAAAGAAAAGTGAAGGATCTCCATTATCACAACACAGAAAGGCTTTTTGGGATAAAGAGATCAATCTGGTTAAAGCTAAAGGATGTGTTAGGAGATACCGAAGAGTTCTTTGGCTTGAAATGCTGGTGGCAGAAACCAAAACTCAGTCCTGACAAGTTCCATTTCTAGCTAGCTGGGAACCATCACAAATAACAAGCCAGCGGGAGTGGAAGTGACTCAGGCAGAGCAACAATTTAAAGAGTAGATTTCATTCAGCATTTCAGTGGGAAAACTAGAAGGACTTGCAAGAAGGGCACTGCCAGTTTGGATCAGAGGGAATGGGGAAAGTCCATTTAATCCATAACTTGGGGTTAGGGATTTGGAGGGGAGGACAGGAGAGAGGTTAGTCTAGAGAGGGAGGAGAGCAATAGAAGATGGTAGAAAGAAGCCAGCTCCCATGAAGTAGTTAAAAGAAAGGTTAAAAGTTAAAAAATTGACAGAACCAGTAGGGGGGGGGGAAATCCCATTTTCTGGCATCCACGCCCAAACTCATCCCACCATGATGGATAGAGGGATCACTGCTCTGAAAAGAGGCAAGAATTGAGAAGTGATGTAAAGTGCTCTTGACTGTGAGGGGTTTGTCCAGCCTCAGCCTAGTAAACCTACCTCCCACTCCTGTTTCTTCCTGAAAGCCAAAAAAAGGAATTTGGTCTGCCAGGTTCTAGTGGAGGGAAAGAAGTAACTCGAGCATTTTGACTGTGGAGCTGACTCTAGGTGAAGGGATGGAAGATATTGTTAGGTGCTGTTGAGTCAGTTACCACTCAGTAACCCTATATGAACAGTAGATGAAAACCTTTCTCACGATCCCAGCCACGGGCAAGGCTATTTTTGCAGTCACTGTAAATCCATTATGTTGAGGTTCTTCTCTTTCATTGACCTTTCCAAGCCTCATGGTGCCTCCTGACAACATGCCCTAAGTTTGGGAGACCTAGTTTCACCATCCTTTTCGTCGAAGGAGAAGGTAAGAGGTTAGCTAAACAGCATCTGAAGGTTTCAGACAAAAGCCCTTGACCTACCCTTGATATTTTCAATAAGGGACTCACTCAAACACTAGACGGTCTAGAACCAAAGAACCCAAAGATATGAGACTTCAGAGAGCTCCTTCCATCCTTTGTGACCTCACTGCCCTGAGTCTCAGTAGAGCTTTAAATGTCAAGTGCAGTTCATCACACCAGTCATAACTTCTGACTCAAGGCGAGGCTCTACAAATGTCTTCTGTGGCACTCCACCAACTGTCCCTCACTAGGCCCAGACCTCCGAGGGATGAGATCTGATCCATCAATGCACTCATTCAAGAACTACTTGCCAAGTCCTGTGCATGACAAATCCTAAGAGCCCGAGGCAGATAAGACCAGGCCTTCTTTAACTAGTTCAAATCAGCAAGAGGAAGGGAGGACATTGAAACAGTCTTTTAAAGCAGGTAATAACAATACCGTGTTATCAAGGTTGATGTGGCGTTCACAAGAGATATCATTTGGGAGGACATAAGGCAACACTGTGAATTCCCATAACTTTTTTATGTCTGGAATGATGATATCTGAGAAGTTGGACTCTATGAGGAGAAGTGTGGCATCCGGATTGGAGGGAGACTCATCAACCTGCATTATGCGTATAACAACCTTGCTTGCTAAAGTGAGGAGGATTTGAAGCACTTGATGCAGATCAAGAAATGCAGCCTTCGGTATGAATTGCATCGACAAAGTCTTATCACTAGGCAGTGCCATGGTGAATGGAGAGGAGATTGAAACTGTCAACAGCTTCATCTTGCTTGCATCCACAGTTAACACCCTAGGTACGAGAAGTCAGGAAATAAAGAGCCACATTGCAATGGGAAAATCTGCAGTAAGGGAGCTTTCCAAATTATTGAAGAGGAGTGATGTCAGTTTGAAGACTAAGGTACAGTTGATTCAGGCCATTGTCTTTCTGATTACTAACTGTGTATCCAAGACCTGGATATTGAATAAGGATGACAGAAAAAGAATTGATGCCTTTGAGCTGTGATGTTGGAGAAGAGCACTGAACATCCCGTGGATGGCCAAGAAAACGAATAGCTATGTCTTGGAAAGGGTACAGCCAGAGTGCGCTTTGGAGGCAAGAATGATGAAGCTTCACATGACATACTTTGGATATATTGCTAGGAGGTACAATTCCTTGGAGAGGGACATGATGTTGGGAAGGGTGGAGGGTCCTCAAAGGAGAGGAAGACCCTCTACCAGGTGGATTGACAGGGTGACTGCTGCAGTGGGTTCTTGTGTGTCAGGTAGTGGATGGCACTGGATAAGGACTGGTTTCAGATCTTTTGTTTATAGGGTTGCTATTAGTTGTACTTGACTTGGTGGCACCTAACAACAGCAACAACATTTTTTTTTATGTCTGGAGTGATAATATCTTAAGAGGGAGAGGAATTCCAAGCATAACTTTTTTCTCAAGGCTACAGCCCTGAATTCAAATCTCTGACCACCAGCTTGTCCAGTGACCTACTATAAGTATTTATTTCTTACTT